ATAATTCATGAGGTCCATTTGCAGAATAAATTTAGATTTTGTATTTTTTTTATATTTCGAATAATTGTAAGTTTTACAACGAATTCTCTTATACAGTGAGAATATATCCAAATAAAATAATGCATTCGTAATTTTCTAAGGAATGAAAACTATTGTTCTATAAATTTCTTTCGCCAAATCAATTTTACTGGAATTTCGATGCATCGTAACGTTTACCCATTTTGTTACATCATTTGCTCCAAGAAAATAACGAAATGTTAATGGAGGAATGTTTGCAGAAATTTTTCCCCGTTTCTCACAATGAACGTATGAAGAGCAAACAATTAATACGATCTTCCTTTTTGATCCTGTGTGAGCTATATCCGTTCTTCGAATACTTTTCTTGAATTTTAAATTCAACGAGAATTTAAATTTACGCGAATAATAACTTTATTAATTAAACAAATTAAAATTAACAGATTGATATCTAGACACATAATTATGTATAATCATATACATCATATATTACTCAATATTACTCAATATTAAAAAAAAAATATATTACGAGCAAGCTAACATCACAAATTCAAATATAAGAATATAATAAAATTCTCACGTTTCTCAATAACAATTCTACTTTAATAACAGAATTATATTTAAAAATAAAAACTCTCAATAATTATTCTCTCCATAGGTTAGGAATACAATCATTGAGCTTACAATTACATCTTAACTAAAACTCTCGAGAATTTCCCCTAAAAATATATATTTTTCGAAAAGAAGAAGAATTTCATTTGAAAGTGATTGCCTCGTATAATAATTTTCTCAAAACAAAAAAATCGAGTAGCGAAAAGTGACACATTCGAAAATTTAGTCGCAAGAGAGACGTTACTCGACGTTACTACAACAATAAGCCGCGTTTCCAATTCATCGCGGTTCCGTGCGCGTTAAGTCTTTAATTAAAATCGGCATAATTTACTAGGCAGCGTGGGTGCTGTCGTCTCGCGATGTTCGACAGTGTTCGACGATTCGAGCAATCGACGATTATCCCTCGGAACACGGAGGCTGTAAACATACGTTTCGTTGCCGCGAATCGTTCAGCTTTGTGTCATTCTGTGGGCGAGGATCACGTGCGTCCCGTGCCAAATTGATTGGCCACGTCGCAAGAACGAAATCGTTTTACGGGCATTCGATCGTTTCGTGGTTATTCCTTTGATTGAACTTGGGAATCGACGGATGCCCCGTCGTGATGTGGCATGGGTTCTGCTCGATCGTAGGACGTGAGTGCATGTTGGAAAGGATCGGGTAAAAGAATATGTGGTGGATAGAGTTCCTGTCTCACGGTGATTAAAGAGGTATAAAGATGGTTGTGAATTATATTTGTTGTTGGGTTTGAGGGGATTGTGGATACATTGGCGATCGAGTCGTTCGGGAAGTTGGAAAAGTTTGAAAAAGTGTAAGAGATATGGGGTCAGATGGGGGAAGTTTCTTTTTTTTCTTTTTGGTCGATATCAATTCTGGAAACATTAGATTTTAATTATTTATTCGTGAATATGTACTAAGAAAAACCTTATTATTTTTGTTCATAAATGTTTATGGAATATAATTCTGTACAAAATTTGGATCTTTAAAATTATTCATTGCCTGGTAGTTGTTTGTTACGCGTTATCAGCTGACTGATGTCATGAAAATTTACGTTACATGGTATAATTAGTAGAATAACCTTCAAATGGAGTTTGAGCATAGATTACTTCTATCTGCAAATTAGACTATTATCAAGATCATGCAATTCATACAATTTTCATAAAGAATCCATCTATTTTATATATTTTCTTAACTTTACAATTTCTCAAAAATTAATAAATTATTATCCATTCAAATACTTAAAAATTTAACATATTTGTTAATAACTTTGCTCGATTTGCTAGATAAATAACTAATTAATTTTAAAATATTTTCAAGCAAAAAAATTATCTTGCCCGATTAATCCAATCGTAATATGAAAAAGTCACGACGAAATTATAAACAATATATACCTATCGTCCCATTTATACGATGTAAAAGGACGGATTTCCAATTTCTCCCGCGTTATTCTCTATAGAATTTTCTTCTAAAAGAAGAACACCGACATGGCGGATGTACGCATAAATTAAGAGGCAAAGTAAATACAGCGAACTCGATTCGATTCCTGTTGCATCGACTTACCTTGAAGCCGACATGTTCGCTTTTCTGCTCCATTTGTCACGATAACGCGAAAACGCTATTAATTGGCCAGCTGTCGCCGGTAATAATCGATCACCAGCTGCTTGATTTACGAACAACTCTATCACGAGACTCGAGCTGATATCTGCCGCCCACGTTCTCGTGTCACCTATGAGAGAACTCGATAATAATTAAGAATTCTCTCTGTCCATAAAATAAGTGCATTAAAACGTATTTTATATGGAAGTATCAATATCGTTTAGATTTCTCATTTACTTCGTGATTCGTACGAATATTAATTTCCCAAATGTTAAACCGTTGATAATATATAGACGTATCGAGAAAGATTAACGTTTTTCATTTTTATAAATGAAATACGAATAATTTTTTTTTTTTTTTGAAATTGTGTAAATTTCACTATCACTTTTATCTGTACATTTTGTCTAGGTTATCAGTAAATTTTATTATCGGGGTTTATCATCGATTTATCGAAACGACCCCAGTTTATCCGAATAATCGATGTTCCACTGTCATCTTAAATTCGGTATTTTTGTGGGGATTTCCGTGGTTTGTTTCTGTGAAAAAGTTGCTCACCTTGTTTCGATCATTTCGAAACATGCAACATTGAATTGCTGTTATTGATAAATGCAAGGTGAAACTTAATCGTTCAATATTGAAAGAATAATTAATAATTCGTGAATAATTGATAAACGTAACTTTATAACAAAATTCAATTCTCTAGATTTATTCAACGTTATTATCATTGATAATAATTTATATATATATATATATATATATATATATATATATTCGATGCAAGATTAATTATTTATATAAAATAAAAAAAAGAAATATTAATTTTTTCGCAATAAAACAAGTCGACGTGTTTACAAATTCTACTCGATATCGCACTCGTCATTTACAATTCTCGCTTTTCCAAATACCAGAAGCGACACACGCGACACCACGTGACCCGTCCGCAATTGCGTTAACGAATCACGTATATCCACGCAAAAGTGGAAAAGAAATGTGTAAAAGAAACGAATAATGTTACCTGGACACGCGGTCGAGTCGTCACCTGTTTACAACGGATTGCATTACGTCGAACAGCCAACGACAGAGCGTTAATAGATCGATGTCGAAGGACACACGTAGGTTTGTACGCTTGTCGATCGCCAGACTATTATTCGGATTTTCATTTCATCGATTCGTATGTATCCGCTAACCTCTATTGCACGGACTTGCATCAGACCATGTTTGTTGCATTTGCGTCATCAAGAGGCGACAGTGTCCTCCGTGGAAAATCGAAAGGATTTATGAAGATTTAGCTTTATTTCTCTCTCTCTCTCTCTCTCTCTCTCTCTCTCTCTCTCTCTCTTTTTCTCTCTTTCCTTTTAGTTCGATCTTTTTTTACTCTTGCATTTTTCTATGGCCGATCGTTCGAATCCCACGCGGATTCAGCAAAATCGCGATGCTTCTGCGTAAGACGTTCCTTGGGGGCTGCCGATGAATGTTAATAGCGGCAAATGTCGTTTAAATACAGAGGCGTTTGTGGACACTGGAAGAACACGAACCTTGTGGAAATTTATGTCCACTCCTCGAATCGCGATCTAACAATTACGGTTACTATTTTTATCGTTTCGATTGTTAAATATTTTGCACGAAATTTTTACTTGTCTGCCCGCCTATTATTTTTGGCAATGATATTTTTAATTAAATAATATTAAAAATAAAATAATGATTATTTGGCTATAACTTTTATATTTTGGATTCAAATATTATTTTTTTAAATTTTTTCTTTAAAGGATAAGTAATAATATCAGACGTATATATAAGTGAGACAATTTGTATAACACGTACAATCGTAAAACGATATAAATCCACGCCATTTATCGAACCCGCAGCATCGCATTATTAAATCGAGAAGCTGCAGTCTCATCCCCTTCAAGGTTATTATGAAACATTGTCTGGCTGGATCCTATAAACAGCTTCTAACATAAAATCCATTCATTCCCGAAAACGCCACTCGAGGCTCGTTTTCCTTGCTGCCAGTCATTCGTGTCGGAAATCTCTCGACCAGCATCTCTTATCCCGTTTATGGTTACTGTTCGTGTAAGTACACGCGTCTTCCGGCATCGTTCCTGTATCGTTTTAATCCTTCCCATAATTTATACCATATTAAACCCTTCGCTATAATACGCGAAAATAGTTTGATTCCATACTCGCAAATTGTTGTAAACTTTATACGACGATATATACTTAATGATTTAATAGCAGCGTCATAATAATCTTTTTCATATTTCGAATACTTTTTGATTCGAGGAAAAATCACTTTTTCAATATTTTTTTTTTCCTTATAAAATAAAACAATTATTCCAATCTTTTACATATAAAAGATATGTTATATAATGATACGAATAAGCATCGTGATACACGTAAATCTCGCTTTAACCCTTTAACTCCACGTGCCTTATTTGGCATACGTTCCCTATTATTCTTTATGATTAAAAGAGAAAGTGGACCTTATTACACAGCGTACGATCTCTTGCAAGAGAGAGACTGAAATTCCGCCGATTTCGTTTAAATTTCGTGCAATCTATAATCGTCTCGACATCGACCTCTCGTATCGCATCGAAAAATTCTTTAAATCAACAACCGACTTTTCATCCCTTACCCTTATCTCATCCCTCGTTTTACATCCTTTCACGGTCTCGTCAAGATCGTTTGCCTCGTAAAAGGATTACGATCCAGCGGAGGCCACATTAAGACGAGAGACACGATAAGACGCAAGACCAAGAGAGGATTTTGTTGCTTTTCAGGCTCGCGTAATCGACAGACGTGCCGGATCGCGCGGCGTCGCCGGGGCTCTTCAGTAGTAGTCGAGGAATCTGCGGCGCAAAAAGAAAAAGAAAAAGAGAAGAAAGAAGAAGAGGAACACACGAAGGCGATAAAAGGAGGATCTGGTGGAGGATCGACGAGAGGAAGTGGGGCGCCGGTGCTGGCCACCGGGACCAATCATCCTTTCCTTCCTCAGGATGTCGTACGCCAATCGATTCCCGTCTTCGCAGCACACCCGTTATCGAAGCAGCTGGGGACCCTCCTCGGTCACCGTGTTCAATCGAGCCGATGTGCCCAGGCCCTCGCCGGAAGAGGAAGAGTACGCCGAGTTCTATCACGAGCGTCTGCACTCGGCACAGAGCAGACAGTTGCTGCCGTTGCAGGAGGACCTGGCCGATTGGATCAATAAAACGTTGAGTGAGTAGCTGTCTGATTTTATATCGGGAGGTTTACCGTCTTTTGCTGGATGTTAGGGGTGTGAGAGATTTGGAAGGGGTGCGGTGTGTGTATGCGCGTATGTGTGTTCTGGTAATTGAGAAAGATAAGACGGGGTGGCGTGCTTATATAACATGTTTGTGACATGGAATTCTTCTGTTTGAGGATATACGGGGTGGGTGTCGTGTTATGCGTGTTTTTGCCTCCATTTGAATAGATTTGAGGGGATCGGTTGATTTGAAGATTGTACAAAGTTTGAGAGTATGGTTGTGTTATTTGAATAGACGATTTAATTGGGATTTCGTAATTTGTGTTATAATATGATGCATTTTGGTTTGTAATATATAAGAAATTAATTATTGGTTGTAATTGGGAAAAAAGGAGCAGTGAAATTTCTGAAAGGGATTGTAGCTTTTTTTTTTTTCTTCTGCTTTTTATGGGATTTTGTTCGTAAACCGTGAATCTTTGCAATTATGTTTGCGGACCGTGAAGAATTAAAAGTAGGAAATACTATTTTAGGATTTTGAAGTAATTGTGTTTTCTAATTAATATATAAGGTAATTTAATTGAAATAGTTTCATCGAATTTCACCTTTTGTTATAGAAGAAAATAAAATATCTGACGTAACTGTTGGATCACCCCGTGCATTCAAATGAAATTTTTGATCGATAAACTTCGTTTGCTGTCGACGACTGTTATTCATACACTTTCCGTGCAAATTTCCGATAACCATCGACCAATAATTTTCTTGACTTATGAGAGGAAATTCGCCTCGAATAATAATATAAATATACCTTTACCAACCAATCAGGCTTCTAATCCGTTTATAGAACTTTTTTACGATCTTACGAATACTTCAGAAAATAGTTCAAAATTTATATATCGCGTTTTCCTCGTGAAATGTATATTTCACTTGTTTGAAAATTTATCGTTCAAAATCTCAATATTTCATATTTAAATTAAGAAAAGAAAAATGTCCAAAATAAATACGGATCTTTTAAAATTAAATCTTGTAAAATATGATAAAAAAAATTCTATAAATATTCGTTAAAAATCAAATTTTAGAAGAAAAAAGTATAAAAATCTTCAATCGAATAACAATCTTCGTAGTAATTCTCGATCGATCTTAATGAATATTCGCCAAAAGGAAAAAGTCACACACAATTTAACCGTTCAAAACTTTTCCTCCTCCTAATGAGTAAAGTTCTATTTTTATCGCGCTCCTCGTTGCGAAAGTTTACGGGGTGCAGAAAGGAATCGCCGTGATGTAATGAGGATTGGAGTTCCGCACGTGTACTCGGCTGTTTTTTTTTTTTTTTTTTTTTTTTTTTTTATTTTTCCGTGGCCGCGTGTTCCCTTCGCGATGTGGATTCGCCTTAAAGGGACGAAGGAAAGAGCTCGTCGCGCTGGTGTACATGCCGTGCGTACACGACTCTCTCGTACCGCACAAAAGGTTCGCATCTGGCACGACGTGGGAAAGGATATTCGTAACATTTGGCCTTTCGTTCACTCATGTTTTTGACGGATGTAGCCGCGATAAAAAAATCGTGTCCGTTTTGTTTCTCGATACGAAAATTTATCGATTTAATCGTGGAAGATGATTTTAACGGAGCATTTTGTTTCGATAAGAATAAAAATAATAGATTTTTGAAAAGTATTAAGAAAGAATATTCGAATCGTTATTGAAATGTTGTTGTTCTGAATTTTCTCGTTTATTTATAAAAAGAATTCACAGTGAGTCCGAAACTGATTTCCTTTCTGGATTCGTGGAATTTTTTATTTTTCTTTGGAACTGCGTGTGTGGTATGAATCGTTGAGTTTGATTAATAATGCCGATGGATAAAATGTGCATCGGTTAACAAGATTTATAGTCGAATAATTTGCATTGGTAAAAAGGAATTTATTATGGATTCGTTTTGCATTGATTCTTGGGCATATGATTCAAGAAATCATGTAAGAATTGATGATCAATGTCGTGTCATATGTCAAATTTATAATTTATAGGATAATGGAGACGTAAGATGATTTTTAAAATCATTAAATGACGAATTTTTAAAATTAGAAATGTGAATAGAACATTGCTGGAATAATCAATATGTTGATAAATATGCGAATCATATTCTAGTATCAGATATAATAACTATTTTGAATATAATTTTGCACATTCTATCTTCTGTTTTATTTTTTATTTTTTTTTTTTTTTTATTAGAATTTTATTTCTTTCCAATTTCCAGTTTCATAGTTTCTCCATAGTTTCATAGATCAAACTGCGGCATGAACAGCCATCGACAGGTAATTTATGAGATATCAGTAGCACGATACGTCAACGAACTCCAAAGTTCTTTCCATTAACCGAATTACACGCGAAAACTTCTCAGAATCAAGATATATAGCCAACATTCGAACTTTAACATTCTTTTCTCGATTTCGTTCAATCTTTTCTTCTGATACTTGGTTTACGGAACTGTAACTTCGATTTTACTTTTTCAAAATTCGTGTTTCTTTTTTTTCCAAACTCTTTAAGATTAGAAAGAATTTGTAAGATTAAAGAAATAATAAATATCGGGAGCAAAGTTAATTTTTCATCGGAGGATCAATCGGAGAAATATTCTTTTTATCGTAGAAATTTCTATTTTTTTTTATGAACCGACAGTTCATAGAAAGTCTAAGACCTTTTTCGATCTTTTAGATAGTGGTATGACCGCCTTTCTGAACTACTACTTTCCAAATACGGTGACGATACGTACGATAGAATTGATGCGTAAAATAGAACCGTCCCGATCCATCAAACGTCGTCACTAAAATGTATTCTAATGAGTAAATAATCTTACTTTATCCTACTTTTACATCCAAAAATATATGAAAAATTTATAGAATAATATTTCCTTTTTTTTTAAAAAAATATCAAATTTAAAAAATTTTAAATCGAGAATTCGATCCTTTTTTTTCAAAAACGAGATTTTAAACGAAGAAATTTTATTCTACATTTCCATTTATATTTACACGTGGAAAAATTTCAAATCTCCTTTTATCGTAAGGCACTCCGTATATACGAATTTTGTACACACATTATCCAAATATTAACTCGAATCACCGTATATCCAATATTCCAATAACCCTTAATCGATTTCAATCTGATTCCATGTTCGAACAATGATTCCGCTCTTAACATAAATTCGTTTATCTAATTGGCGATCCGTGTTTCGTGCAATGCCGATTCATCCTGATCAAGGATGAATCTCGAATCTCGAAATGGCTACAAGCAACCGTTTCGGCTTTAATCTTCGATTACCGGATACGTTGTTAACGATGTCAAGGAAGGTTGTTACCGTACGAAATATCTGTAACGCGTGGCCATATATTTTTTGGTGAACGGTTGACGATCGCGGTTTCATGCGACCTCGAAGAATCCAGCCGCAAGATCTGGACCACCATGAAGGATTACGACACGAGGCGGTCTCTCGGAGAGAAACGAGTGATACGAGAACCGACGTGTCGTCTTTCTGGGATGCAGATTGCTTTGAATTACGCGAAATATGGTCGCTCGAGATTTATCAACGAAGGAGGATTGTTAAATGTAACAGTCGAGACGAGTTTTGTGCGTGATCCTTTTGGCGTACGTAATTTGAGTTTTCATACATTTCGTATATTTCATTTCATTTAAATTATTATAATCAACCAATCTTTGTTTTAATATTTATTTTTTTGAACATGTAGGTACAGGATGTATTAAATTGCTAGTTGACAGTTGATGCTATTATTCCTTCCCTTCGTGAAAGCATTGATATCGCGTGTAGGAAGTTAGTACTGATTTCAAAAGTAGTTTGATAAATATTTGCGCTCTTACGTGGTCGTACAGATACGCTTGTGTACTCATAAAACATCGTATACTTATGGAAGTAGGCAAAAAAAATGATCAATGAACAAATCACACGAACGAATCATTATGATTAAAATATTCCTTCGAATCTTCAAAAAAGACTCGTGTTATAAAATAAACGACAATATAGATAAAAAGTTTCTAGAAAAACGAATTACGAATCACAAACTCGTTCGAATTATATCGATTAAAAAAAAAAAAAATCTTAAAGAAAATTTTCGTATTTCAATTATATAATTATTTTCATAAGGGTAACAATAATATCATTAATAATCCCGATAATCCATCTCATCTATTTCAAGTATTCCAATATTTATGTATAATATCCGGCAACGACTAGAACAACCGAAACAAATCCGATCTCCGTTATGTCGATGTTGACGACTATACGGCTCTAATTATATCGGTGTGTAATATCACATGGTCGGTCTCCATCCCAGCTTCAAAGCTACGGAGCAACGGGACGAGAGATAGGTCGGCACCCTTTGGAATCGTGTGTGGGTACCTCTGCCGTGTAGTTACTATTCTCGTTCCGCCGGTGTGTACGGATTGAAGCGTGCACATCCACACCCACGCGAGCGTTAACGGCGGTGGAGGAAGAGAAGGAGGAGGAGGAGGAGGAGGACCGCTTGAAATGCAGCGTGGCGGTCAACTCTCCCGTCTGCATTCAATCTGCATGGGGGGAGGGGTTAATGCGCGAGGGTGAGCGACAACCGGGGTGTTTGCGCCTGGGGAAAAAATAACCGATGACGTTTCGCTGTTTGAACTGAATTATTTCGAGTGTGTCCACGAACGTTGCTCCAATTAGCGTTTCTCGTTCGAAATGTAAACGGACGTCGATTGCGGTTCGAATATGATTCCAAAGTGATATTCGATGGTTGGCGGATAGTCGATATGGAGTCGGTTTAAGAACGAAGTAAAAGATTTTTTTTGTGTGGATAACTTTTTTCCCCTTTTTTTTTTTTATATCGTGACGATTGGGTTTTGGTTACCGTGAATTTCGAATTAAAGTTTCGTAAACGAGGGTTCTTTTTTTTTTTTTCCTTTTCTATCGAGAGAAGGAAATTGGAACTCGTTACGTTTCGGTGATCGATTTCTTATA